TCAGGATTTTGGCTTGCGGCGGAAAATTTTCCGCCGGCCGGAATCGCAGCTGGCGTTCTTGCGCTCAGACCCTGAAGCTCTAAGCACTGGAAAGTCAGAGGTTGTGTTTGGAATAGTGGTCAGAGCTCAGGTCTCACAAATGTCTTCCGCGGGCTTGCAGGAGTTGTGTCCGAGCGAAGGTGGTAGCATTTCGGAATACGCCCGTCAGGACGATGATAAGGACAAGAAGACCAACAGGCCTTTGATGGTGGCCTGCAGCTCAGTGGGTCAAGGTTTACTATTAGAGTTTAGTGAGTTTAGGCTAGGGTTTTAGGATGCCCAGCTTCTTGCACATCTAGCAGGACGGAGCCGACTTATAAACCGCTTGAATAAAACCTTCTCCACCGAAGAAAGGCGGGGCGGTCGCGGGAGCGAAAGCTCCCTACGCTTAGACAAACCTCACCTCGTCGTGGAACGGTCAGATCCCCAAAGCTCCGAAGATGTGTTCATTCACATGCACGCCCACGCGCACATAGACATAAACGACTGTGTATGTGTATATATACATATATATATACACACACATCCATCCATCCATCCATCCATCCATCCATCCATCCATCCATCCACCCACCCGTCCGTCCATCCATCCATCCATCCATCCATCCATCCATCCATCCATTCATCTATTCACCCACCCACCCACCCAGGCAGGCATGCATGGATGCATACATGTATACATGCGTACATGCATACGTAGGCATGTGTGCATCTGTGCATGTATGCATGGATGCATGGATACATGCATGCATAGATGGATGCATGTTTGCAAGGTCATCGTTCTGGTTCTCCTGATACCATGTGCGGCAACCGGCTGCCTGGCAGTTTGGGTAGTTGAAGCGACCGGGGCACTTAAGTAATAATTTGGGCATTCCGAAGGATCAAAGACTCGGCGGATGGCGATTCGAGATCTCAAGAGTGCGTGGTGTGTGTGTGTGTGAGAGAGAGAGAGAGAGAGAGAGAGAGAGAGAGAGAGGGGGCATCGATCTGACATATGGGTTCCTAGGCTTGAGCCTCCAAAGGTATCCTACAGCCAAACACTGAACGAAGAAGACGGACAAGCTTCATGGAGATAGTTTGGTACAGGATGGTTGGTACGGGTGTAGCATTCAGGGCTTCGATTTCAGCCTGCAGGCTTCAGGGTTCCGCATGCGAAGAGTGGCTCTAAACGCGAAGCCCTGCAGTCTCCTAGATGCCAAGCCAGAGCGGTTTAGGGTTCAGGGTTCAGGGTTTAGTGTTTAGGGAGAGCTTCGAAGCCGACATCCTGAAGTCTGGAAATTCCAACAAAAAAGTGGTTCCAAGCTGCGTGAGGTTCATGGGGGCTGTGATCTGTGATTCGTCGGGGTTACAAGTAGCTTTGTGACTATGAGTAGATTCAACTCTAGGTACTCGATTTGGAACAGTACTTATTAGGCCCCCTGGCCTTCATCAGCAGTGACTTATGAGGGCTTTTACTGTTACAGGAAACTCTTGTAAGAAACCATAAAATTCAAGCCTCAAGCCTTCAAGTCTGAACCACAGTACCTAAAGCAGTAACCAAAAAGCAGTGCCAAAGTCTGAGGCTACCTCAGCTGGGTCGAAGGTTCAGCCTGCGCCGCGACGCGCGACGCCTGCAAGACGGAGTGCTTCGAGCCCCTGGGCTCTCCTGAGACTTTCTTAGCGGATGTCTTCGGGTTTTGGGCTTGAGGGCTTCAGGCTTTCAAAACTGGGCCGAGGGTGTAGAGTTTTTGGATTCAGGCTTACAGGTTTAGGCTTCCAGGATCCTTGCGACAAGGATCTCAAGAATGAGACCAGCAACTTCGTTTTGGGGGCCTCCGATGTGCTGAAGCTGCCATTTTGGATCTATTGCATCCACTCGTCGGTGTAGAAGCTGTCGTTGTTGCCGTCGCCGTGTTCGCGTCTGTAGGACAGTAGGATTAGCGACAGCAGCAGCCGTTGTCGTCGCCGTCGTCGTCAATAGTAGCATCATGTACATTTAGAACAGCCCAATCCATAGATAGAAAAGGATTGCCAATGCTGTCGCTTTCGTCCAAGAAACGCAGAGGCAACGTTGAATGTAGCATGCCGCGCAGACGCTTGTCAGGTAGTTTCTGCCCTTCATGCATGGATGAGAGAACTGGCATGCTCTTGATCAGCCCCTGTGCCGACAAGGAGCTATGTCAACGCAGACCGCCAGTTCCAGTCACAAATGCCGCTTATCAGCGCATCAGTCCGGAAGCTTGAGGATGCGGGATGCCTTCTTACGGTTCTGGTTTTGGGATGTGGGAGTTGCAGTCAGCTTATTACCCACTTGTTGAAGTGCACCTTCTTGTGCGTGGTACTGGTCGAGTCTAGAGAAAAGATCTACGATTGCGGGATCGTGCTGGGTACATGAACAACGAAGACACGATTTGATTGGGATCGATTGCAATGGCATGGTGGCCATACACATATCCGACCGTCATATAGCATGTAATCCCTGGCTTGTACCCCCAACATCAAACAGAAGCAGGCAGGGGCTGGTAGGCCCTGGTGATTCCGATATCCCTACACCTCAAGTCAAACCATGTTCGAGCTCCGTGCTACAACCTTTGCCACAGTTTCCGGAAGGAAGGGAGAGATGGACTGCAACATGGATTGCGACGATGACCTTGTCCAGTGTCCCGGCAGGATGTGGGGTTTTGCTCAGGGAAGGCAAGAGGCGTTGAGAGTTGGTGTGTTTTTCGATATGGAGCTCCTTTTTGGCTTAAGATGTTTTAGGGTTCAGGTCTGAGTCAGCTCCGGAAATTGCAGAGCTTTCTGCTCGACCGCCCCGCGAGTTTACAGGGGTTTATCTCCTGGCTCTTGTGGGCAACGCTTGTGAATATGAAGGGGGTTGGACAGGCACCACTGGCCTTCAATCTAGGGGCTGCAGAAAAAAGCCTGTAAGAGGATGACAAGAATGGTTAGGATCAGCACGAGGATAGGGGCGAGGTTGAGGGTCAGGGTTCTGTTATCCTTTGGAGATAGGATTAGGAGCATGAGAAAGAGGGAACGTGAATGAATAAGATGTTAGCATCTGGGGCCGTGCATAGGAGGTTGGCTAAACCACCCTTCCTCAGCGCCCCAAACTTATGAATCACACAACCCCCCCTAAAGGCAGCCTGAAAATTCGCCCGTTGCTTGGCCAGAGGTGCTCTGCGGTCTCTACCAACCTCTTCTTCGGCGCCTCGTTTCTGGGCGGAGGCCTGGGAGAGAGCCACGCAGCACATGGTGCCGAAAGTAGTCTATGGAGGGTTTAGGGTATGGGTTTTAGATGGTTTAGGGTTCATGATGCAGGGATTGGTTTGGCAGGCTGGCAAGTTCGAGCACAAATGTCGGTTGAGGTTCATGTACATATGTAATCACAGGTCATCTGGATAAAGCTGGAGGCTTTGTTGAACCTGCAAGTAGCTTTGGGTGTCGGCCTCGGTCTCTACCCACGATGCGCGAACGATGGCCCTGAGATCCGGCAATAATGTCGCATCGAGCCTGTTCTAGGAGCTTACCGTTTGGTTCCCCCAGCATGGATCAACAGATCTTACTCCAAGATCCGGCTTGTCTGCTCGCACTTGCACGGTGGCACACCCATGTGCTGTTGCCAGTGACCGATGCTGACCCTTCTAGTCGTGTACATGCTGGAATGTTCTGTTGCTGCAGATTCGCTGCTGTCCATGTGCGAGTCTTGCATGACGGTTCATGATGTATGTGCCCTCTCACGTGTTTGCATGAGCAGCTGCTCTTTTCTCTCGCAGTGGTATCTATTTCTCGCTCTAGCTACTAGCATCCATGACACATGCCCCGAGCTTTCTATGGCGTCAGCTCGGAAACCCGAAGATCCAACGTCTTGTTGCACCTGCTCGATGATTTGTGTACCCGGATTACTGGCAGTATTTGCCTGCGCCTTACGCGCTGGCCTTATGCCCGAGCTCTTTCAATTACAACTCTGCTGAACCAATGTGTTCAGTTGCTCTACTGCAGTTGCCCCGAAACCTCGCCTGACTTGTCGAGTGCGAGTGACAAACAAGCGCTTCGAACGAAACCCTCCACGAGGCTTATTGAATCTAAGAACCTGAAACCCCCTGAGCAATCCGATCCACAGCCCTCAGCTTTGGTCTCCTTCCACCGAAACTTGCATCTGAACCGCGAAAACCGGGGCCGCCTGCTTAGATCCTGAAAAGTTGTATCCTGCCGCCCCAAGCCCCGCAAAGCCCTCAGTGCGCAAACCCGAAATAGATAGCAGCCTAGAGCCCCAACACTCACTCCCTAAACCCGCGTACTATAGAACCGCATACAACCCTAATGCCACAGGTATTCTCATGGCTTTCGGTCTCCTCGTCGTAGTCCCGGCCACATGGCTCAGTTCAACTTGAGCTGCAGGCTGTAAGAGTTCAGGGCTATACAGGTGGTTTATCGCCGCGCCAAAAGACTATGCGAAGTTTTTTACGGATCTTGCGGAGAGTGTGGTTGGGGCTGAAGGGTGTGAAGTATCGGCGCTTAAGCGAGTGCGTTCAACTGATTCATGCGTCACTAAGTCAGTTAGAATTGGCAACTTCAGGCTTCAAGGTTTAAGTGGGCGAGTGTATCAAGTTGCACAAGCCCCGAATACAAGGGTGAAACATGTCGAGAGCTTCGGCGTCGGCTTTTCTACAACTGGAAAACTCTGACTTTGCTGGTCTCGTACGATTAGTCTACGTTGAAAGATTTGAGTCAGCCGTTTTGTGCCTGACAGTGGATGACAAGAGGCGGGCTTAGATGAAGCGGTTTCTGTCTTTGAGCTGGAGCTTGCTGTTTGGGCTTATAGTCCCTGTTCAGCGTCTTGGAGGTTGTTTGCCATGATGTTTCAACAGGTCAACAGGCATTGGGTCCCTGAAGTCGGTCATGCAAGGTGAACAGTCTACTCAGCAGCGCTTTGGCACATCTTTCTTGGGCTTAAACCCCCTATCGTAAACCTCGCCTGAACCATGCACCCTGATCTCCTTTTTTTGGACGTTTTGCATCCTGCCCAGTATTTCTTTGGCCACCACGCGGAAGATGACGGCTTTAGCTTCGACATGCGTGCTGCCTACATCGAGCCCTTCCCCACGGACGCTTCTGGGTTTCGCCGCGCCGTGGTCGGGAGTTCTCTCCAACCCTTCGTTTAGTTTTTAGCTCTTTGCAAAACCAAAGCTTCATCGAGGCAATGATGGACATTATCTCGAGTCTAGGGGTCTGTTGGATCCTTTCGAAGCGAAGCCATGCGGGCTTCTCAGAATTGGGGGTGTCTTATACGGGGTCGTTGAAATCAAGATCACCTGCTGGTTGGTGTATTCTACCAGCACCGTGACCCCACGAGTACAAACCTAGAAGCAGCAGTGCCATTTCCAGGCCCCAAGCCCAAGAACTAAACCGGAAAGCCCTAGTTCCAGACCTATCAACCCCTTAACCCCTGGTAAACAAGCCTCCGCAGATTTTGCAAAGGCGTAGAAACCCGAAGCCCCAGACTCACAGGAGGAGCAGAGGCGGAAGAAGGAGTCGAAGAGGCTTCTTGCAACTACATAGTAACTACAAGATTGGGGGGATCCTTTGGGATATAGAGTTCACTTAGAGGGTTCAGGGTTGAGGATTGCTTGGAATGTTTTGGTTTCGTAGGATCTGATGAGGAAGTTTTGCCGGGTTGGACAGGGAATTTGTTAAGGTCCTTCGTGGGACGGGATTCGATGTTGGCCGTTGTGGCTTCGGGCTTTCTGTGCAGTTTGAGGGTGTTGTTTGGTTTTCTGCGGTGTCGAGGTTTTGGGGTCCGCGGTTTTTTTTTTCCCTAGGTCTGGTCCGGTCTGGGGGGCCTTGCTAGGTCTGGTCCCATGGTCCCTGGTCCTTTGGTCCTTTGGTCCTCTGGTCCCCTGGTCCCTGGTTCCCTGGTCCCCTGGTCTCTCCTGGTCCTGTACCCCTAAACCCTCAAACCTGCAAGAACGCGTAGCCTTGATGACTTCCATTTACGATCTCTAGTGGCCAACAGTACCACGTTCGAAACTTTCCTGCAGGTCTGTGAAGCAGCCAGCCCATCTAGACGGAAAGGTCCAAAGAACCAAATACGTAGGAAGGAGGCCGAAAGTTGGAACACGTCCACAGGAGCATATTGGCTCAAACCACAGGTTCCAAGTTTATCAACAAACAACTAACAACAAACACCTAACCAGAAACAAGAAAGAACAAACAATAAACCAAGGAACAATAAGCAGGAAACAACTAACAATGAACAAGAAACACTAACAACTCACAACTCACAAATAACAACCAGCAACTGACAACTAACAGCTAACACCAACAACTAACAACTAGCAACGAACAACGAACACCTAACAACTAGCAACTAGCAACTAACAACTAAACAACTAACACAACTAGCAACAAGCAACAAGCATCTGACAACAAGAACACCAGCAACGGCAACAACAACACCAATAACAACAATAACAACAACAACAACAACAACAACAACAACAACAACAACAACAACAACAACAACAACAACAACAGCAACAACAACAACAACAACAACAGCAACAGCAACAGCAACAGCAACAGCCACAGCCACAGCCACAGCCACAACCACAACCACAACCACCACGACAACCACAACAACAACAACAGCAACAACAAGAACACCAGCAACAGCAACAACAACAACAACAAGAACAACTACCAAGACGGCAACGACGAGGACGAGGACGACGACGACGACGATGACGAGGATGTCGACAACGACACCAAAAAACAACGACACAAGACAGAAGATTTGAAATTGTAATCCTGCAATATTCACACGCGAAACACGACCCTGCAAATTGTAGTGCTCCAATAGCTTCATGCAAGACACAAGCAAAACCAGACCCTGCGAATGCTAGTTCCCCATTAGCTTGATGGAAAACAAAAACAATAAACGACTCTGCAAATTGTAGTTCCCCAATAGCTTGATGCAAAACACAAACAAAGCCGACCCCGCAAGTTGTAGTTCCCCATTGGCTTGATGCAAAACACAAGCAGAAGAACACACCGCAAATTGTAGTTCCCTAATAGCTTCATGCAAAACACAAGCAGAAGAACACACCGCCAATTTTTGTTCCTTAATAGCTTGAAGCAGAACACAAGCAGAAGAAGATCCTGCGAATTGTAGTTCCCCAATAGCTTGATGCAAAACACAAGCAACACCGATCCCTGCAAATGCGAACTCCCCAATAGCTTCATGCAAAACACAAAGAAAACCGAACCCTGCAACTTGTGGTTCCCCAACAGCTTGATGCTAAACACGAGCAAAATCAGACTCCGCAAGTTGTAGTTCCCCAATAGCTTCATGCAAAACAGAAGCAAAACCAGAGCCGTCAAATTCTAGTTCCCCAATAGCTTGATGCAAAATAGAAGCAAAGACTGCAGTTGCCGCTGTTCGCAACCACAACCAGCGGACCAGACCTAAGACAAAAAAACCGTTCCGCCGAGGTTTTGGCATAGTGTCGGTTGACACTTTTTTCTCTAGCTTGCAGCTCTCGATTTTGGCTGGTCTGAGTTCGTTTCGGGCACTCTTTCAGTTTTCGGTGGCATGTTCAGGCCCCTCCCGATAGTCTTTTCGTTGAACCCTTAATCCTTACATGGAAGGAGGTTGCAGGGTCGTCGGGACCGCAGTTGCTTGAGCCCTCGGCCAGTCCTGATGCGCCCTATCCCTAAACCCGGGAGCCCTAAGAAAAGCCCTAGAACCCGACATCCCAAGCACGAAATCTCATAACTGAGTCAAAGCCTCGGATCCTGGTAGTTTGTGAGGCGACGATTCTTCTGGCAGGATAAGTATCAGCCGCCAGACATCGTGGAGATTGAGCCCTGGCTACTTCATCTTACAGCAATGTACACCTGAATCCACTCCGTGGCACCGTGAAAAGCATGGAATAAGGTGCTCCATATTCTAGACTGGTCTGTGCATCTTCCGACTTGCTCCTTGTTTCATGACTCTAGTGACTGCGAAAGTCCAGATGTTGCTGATTCGACAATGGCGGACACCGCGAGGTGGAGACAGACAGCTAGAAGAATTGAGAACTCCATCGTTGCAAGTCCGCGGTTCGTTTGAAGTTCAAGGTTGTATGGCAACTTGGTATGGAGCCTGTACTTGTAGCGACTTTGCCAGGTGTTTCCTTGTCGTTGTTTGTTTTCGTGGGTTTCCGGAGTTCAGGAGATAATCAAGTGGCTGCCAGTGTGCTGGTGGAGCCTACAAGCCTACACACTGAACCTTAAGCCCTTATGCCTCAACTTTAGGCCGTGAACTCTCAACCCTAATCCTCGTTGGTGTTTAGTCTGGACAACTATACTGTAACCCTAAACCCTGAGATGGCAGAGTGGCTGGGATCACGATAGCATTGCGGCACCGAGCGCAAAGGGGGCACCGATGCTTCGCTGGAGGAGCCGGCGACAGTGCCAGATGGCCTTCCATGCGCCACTCATTCCTTTTGGCAGGGCGTTGGTCCACCTGGAGGCAGGCATGTTTCCTTCCGGATTCCATCAACCTCGACCAACGATCAACCGCTGCCGGGATGGCCGGCATCGTCAGTCCATGCAAACACTTGACGATGCGAAACCTGTTCCTGAACTCCAGCACACTTCCTCCGCCGCAAGCTACATGGTGCCCTGAGCCGCTGCACGTATTTGCATAAGATCTGCTCCGCCTGCGATCTGATCTGGCACCTCGCACGACCGCCAACCAAGTGCCTGCATTCTGCACGGGAAATTGATATGTGACATGGTGTTAACTACATGTTGGGAGTTGAATCATTCAAAGAGATGCAAAAGTCTGAGCTGCATTTTCCAACGTGAGCTGCACTTTGTGAATTCAATGCTGAGTGCTGGAATGCGTGTTTCCGTGTGAGCTGTTTCAAGTGACTCAAATGATGGAGACAGTGGTGGATGTAGTGAAACGTGCCCGTGATCGTGATGTTACAGGTTGCCCGTGCCAGGGTCCTCGCCAAAATTATCCCAGTTGTCAATGTTGAAACCCTACATTTTGATTTTAGAAGCTGGAGGCCTCAAAAGCTCAAAGGCTTCATGCCTAACTCCGTTAAGCCTTGGTTTTAGACCCGAAGCCCCAGCCACTACACCCCCAGACTTTTACATCCCTGATCTAAGGTTCAGACCAGTGCTTCCACACGAAGTGGTGCAAGATTTCTTAATATTAGTATTAGCATTCATAGTAGTAGTAGTATAAGTATATTACAGCCGTCAGATGAGCATGAACTCATCAACAAATGTCAAAAACCCCAAGGAACAACCACATCGAGCAATGAAGCCCTAAAGATTTTTTGGCGTCCAGAGCTCCCCTGTGAAACCTCCAAGGCCTGTGTAGCTGCTGAGCTGCATTTTCTGAGTTCTTGTTAAGGATTACAAGTAAAGTTACCATAATGGGGATCTCGAGTAAATAACATGGTTTCCTTATCATGGTAGTTTAAGATAATTCACTTAACAAGAACCCAGTTGTCGAGTCTGTAACGTGGGTGTTTGCTTGGGGAGTTGAGGATGCAGTGCTTTTTCAAGTGTTCAAGGGATGATGGATTTTGTGAATATGGGTTTAGGACTTCGGGCTTCTTTGCACCCGATTTGGTGGGATTTGCTGGCCAATACTCCTGGATGTGGTTCTGGAGTTTCGAAAGTGAAAGCTTTCGTGATATAACGAGGGCTGGAGAGATTCACCCATCACCCAGACAGCGCCGGAAAGGATCAAGGGATGTACTCGAGCTATGTATATATATATATATATGTATACATATACATATGGGGTACGGGAATAATGCTACCAGCCTAAGAACCACACAAAAAGTTCGGGAATGGGCTCATCTTACGAGAGTCCCCGTCCCCTGCTAGGGACTATTTGGGATTCCACGATGAAGGCCCTTAAAAGACATACATCACTTGTTGAAGCTTACCTGCTAAGCTCTATGCATCTTCGAAGGTTGACTTCCGGGTCAAACTCTCACTTAGTCGGCGGCTAAAGGGTTGCACTGATCACGCACACCGGTTTAGGTTTAGGGCGCTTTGAGGCCTGCAGGCCATGGGGCTTAAGGCTTCTGGCGGACACAGAACAAGGGCGAAGGTTTTAGGTTTTGGATCCTATCCAGGCAGAGAACAACAAGGCCTAAGGGTTTTGCGGTGGTTTAAACTTTCGGCATTCGATTCAGGTGCGGTGTTTGAGATCATCCCCGGCTCTTAAGCACTGCGGGGAAACCCGAGTCCCCACAACCAAACTCGACGCGGACAGAGATTTGGCCCAAAAGGCTCTTAAAATTTGGGGTTCTTTTCTGGTGGTTCCGTAGAGTGCGGATCCGCGTGTTCCGGGCCTACATCAGGGCATTAGGGGTTCTAAACTTTCGCTTGTATGGACTTACTTTTGGGTGTACGGGACCTTATGGAACCCATATAGCTGAATAACTGGATAACACTTTCAATATCTCCAGCATATTTCATACTATATACATCTTCAGACCGGGTCCTAGGCAGTTCCATTACACCCGATCCCCGAACTGTCAGCAACAACCACCTGCTTTGATCTAGACTTTATAAAGTCCTCACACTGAGTAATAGTCCCTGAGCATGCGCCCTCCAATCCGAATTTCAGGAAACTGTAAACCCTCAAGTTTCAGCCCGAACTCAAAGCACAGCGACCCGAAACCTGCAGCCGAACTGCTCGTGGCCAAGGAATGTGGGCAAAAGAATTGGTTGGATGCCAAGTGGCTGCTTTGCCAAGAGGATAGAAGCCAGTTCTGACCTTCGTGGGTAGTTGTAAGGAGCGATTCTGTTTACGGTCTGCATATATGTAAGCCAGCTGTCGGTTTTTCGGAGGGCTTAGGGGTTGTGGATAGTAAGGAGTAAGCTTCCATGTATTGAGTAACACTACTCATATTCCCGCTTACGAACTCCACTGGCAGCTGGTCCTGGTAGATTAACATATAATCGCCTCCAAACCCACCCCAACCGGCTTTTCCTCGACAACTTGGGGTTGGGGTTCTTGTGGATTTACATTTTTGAGGCTTAGCGGCTTCCGTCGGCAATGTGGGGACCAAACCCCTGGACCGAACCATCAGGGTTTTATAAATGGTGTTGAAGGAACAACGTTTATGTCTCATCCTTGAGATCTGCATATTGGGGCTTGGAGCTTGGCATCGTGTTAGTGATCACGTCTGCGCTGTGCGTGGCAGCGGAGTACTGATCTGGATGTGGCTTTGGTCGATGGCCGAAAGTTGAAAACAAGGACCCGTTTTCAGATGCTCACACGCTTGCGTGTCAAAGGGAATTGCGCCTCAGGCTGTGTGTGCCATCAAGGAGGACGATGGTTGGTAGAAGCAGAGAACCCCTTTGACTGCCAAGCAGTAAATGCCACACCAGAAACCACCAGACAACTGGTACTCTTCTCATTCATACCCATGTACCGCTAGACTCTAGTCCTGTACTCTCTTCTCATCGTGTGCAGGCCATTATGAAATAGCTGCCCCTACGAAGCCTAAGCCTGTAACAAACACACAGCCACGCAGACAGACAGCTCTGAGGCTCAAAGCAAAGAAAGGTGGGGGGTCAGAGCAGGGTTTGGGGTTCTAAGGCTTTGTGGATGGAGGTTTCGGGTGTGGATTTGAGATTCCGTTGGAGTTTTGAGGCTACACATATGAAAGCTACGCGGGTTTCCTGCACCCTTCGGATTTGCACTCAAACCTGGGAAGCAACAGAGGCAATTTGAAGTTTTCAAGTTGCCGCTTAGATCTCGAAGAGTTGCACGTATATTGCAAAAAGTCGGATCCACCCACCCACTCATCTCTCTCTCTCTCTCTCTCTTTCGCTCTCTCCCTTCCACTATCTCTCTCGCTTCCTCTGTCTGTGTCTCAAGCTTCCTCTCCTTGCACAATCTCCCAGCGTCACACCTTTTGTTACACCGGCCCGACAATCTTCCTTGTGTCTCCCTTGCTACTTTCATGTACGCAGCTATATCGAAACAAATCTCGTGACTCCGGTTCAGAACTTAGGGCAGCAAGGAGCTTGCGTAGATGATCTGTGAATCGAAGGTCGCGGGTTTCGGCGACATAGCCGGCATATGGTGCTGAACCCTAAGAACCGACTTGTTGGCACGATTCCCTGGTTACCGTAGCCCCAAGCCCTGCGAAGGTAAGCCCCGCACGCAGGTGGCATGCAGTCCGCGGTGTGCGTCCGATGTCGGTCAATCTTGGCCGGGGTCGCCTGATGAGAGACACCGGCCCGCAAGGGCTTTGGTCGGCTGATTGGACTTTCAAGCGCCCCAACTTTTCCCTGCGCAGGTAAACCTATGCTTGCTGGCCTGAAAGGTTTGTGGTCCTGGTATTTAGGATTTTCAGAACCTAACGGACCTCAAGGTAGACCCCAAGTGGTAGGATCCCCGCGTTTTAGAGCCGAGAGCGCTCTCCACCCTCATGTTGTGGGCTTTCATGGGTTTGGACGTTGGCTTGAGGCTGTGCCCACAGGTTAGGGTTTAGGGACCTTGAATCTGGACTCCAGGTAGCTTGTGTTTGCATTTCACCAAGCATGTTCGTCTAGAATGCCGTGGCATCTCCCGCTGTATCAACATCACTTTATAGGTAACCTGTATCCTTTTTGCGGCTATTTTGCCATGATTCTAGTTATAACGAGGGAACTCAGGGACCAGGACATGAACTCAGGACCCCTCCGCGAACGCTGTTCGACCACACCCTGGTGTAACGAAGACATGTATTTCTATGCAAACCACTTTGAGGTTCAGGATGCGGCCAGCGTGGGTGGGGTGCTACTACTAATAGTAGTAATAGTAGTACTAGTAGTGATAGTAGTAATAATAGTAATAGTAGTAATAGTAATAATAGTAATAACAGGCCAACAAGGCGGCCGAGAGTCCTAGAGGAGCACATGTGTCATGTGGCGCCCGGCATTTCGAAGGTAAACCCTGATGGGAATTCGTATTGCTCTTCTGCCCAGTTCATTCCGGGTCCCTGGGCCTTGTTGCAGTTTGCAACTCTTACAAAGGTGTCACATAGGGCTTCAGGAAAGCTTCAGACCCTTCCAAGAAATCCTAAACATTTCACGCGTTTCACAGCCTGTGGAGAATGAGCACATTTTGGTATGTATTGTTGGACGGGTCATTCGAGGAGCCTATGGAACTTTGGCGATGGACGTCCTAGAGTCCTAGATGAAAGATAGCACACACGGCTCATACTCACAGCCTTCAGCTTGAAAACACCACGCACGACACCCAAGACCAGAAACCCTCAGCCTCCACCCGCAGCCCTAAAGCTAAAGCCCTGAAACTTAGACCTTAGACTCGAACCGCTGAAATTCCTGGTTATGCTGAACCTGGTACAACACAGCTGGGGATGCCACCATCGTCTCACCGCCGTCGAGTGACGCATTTCCCTTGCAGCGCAAGCCCAGTTATCCTTCCCTAGATGCCTAGTAAACTATGCATGGGTACTAAAACTAGGTGCAGGTATCTCGGATCGTATTGCACGGAACAGCAATCCCCTATAACATTGCGATTCTTCTTGAAATTTCTTCGCATCCCGCCGGGCTCCCAAAAGCTCCATAGCCGTCGCAGCTTTGGGTTTCCGGTTGGATGCTGAAGGGCTTTGGTTTCTAGAGTGTGGACTGCCGTTCCGTGGCTATGCTCTATACTGTCCCACGCAAATCTACAAGCCCCTAAACGCTAGACATGATTTTTAATTTTACCCTCCGTCCTAAAAGCCGCCATCAGCGAAACCCTAGGAATCTCTTTTTAGCTGATACCCCAAATACCGTGCGAAATTCGAAAGCGCGAAGCCCTAGCAATTCTCTTGTGCAAAAGGGCCTTGCAAGTTTCACCGAGCTTTCGATCCTCCCAGCCGTGGAGCAGAAATGAGGGTTCCATAAGGACTTAAACGAGAAAGGGTGTTATGACCCCGGTACAGGCCCCCTGGTCTCATACCCTGATGAAGCAACTTTAGACACTCCAGAGTCCGTCTATCATGGCCTATATGTTCCAGACCACCATGGGCGAAGTCTGGGTTACGGGAATACTATCCCGAAGCCCTACCCTGAAACCCAAAACCGCAACCACCCAACCCTATACCCGAAATCCTAAACTGATATTGGAGTCCTGAAGTTTATTGATTTATGGTATTATAGTACGGTTACAGGCTACGGGTGCTAAGTATGCCTTTCCGCCGTTGTGCTTTCCTGCCACGGGATTTTCCAATGCCTAAACTCCTAAACCGCCGCCTACGCCCTTGAGCCCCAAAGCCCTGAACCCTAGACCACCCTAAACTCCGTCGCCGTTTTGGCTCAAGCGCCAGAGATGGGCTGAAGAAAATGTGGCTCGACAGTTCTGCTACTCCAGTGCCTCGTAACGAGAGCAACAACAGCAACAACAAATAGTACAAATATCACAAGCACAAGCACAAGCAAAGCCACAAGGGCAAGGGCAAGAGCAAGAGCAACATTCTCCTTCAGGCGGGCTTCAGGTAGTCCCGCTTATCGGAGGTTGAAGCCCAGTCTGGGGGAGGACGCCAGTCCTGCATCCAAGGCCGTCAGCCCTGCCAGGATCACCCCCAAAGTCCATGTGGTTCAGGACCGGCCGGAGCTGGAGGAGGCTCAAAGGCAACCCAGGAGGAGTGGGTCACGAAATGGATGGCCAAGCTGTTGCAAGATGATCCTGCAACAGGCAAGCACAGGAAGCAGAGACGGCTTCCTCCTCCAGCGACCGTCCCACCCTCTTATGGGATGGCGAAGCCCCAGAAGATCAACGTGAGCGACTTGAAGAAATACAATGCCAGCAGAATGCGGAACTTCACCGATGGCATGAAGGCCAGCTAGCCGAACAGGCGGCCGAAGAGGCCCAGCTGGAAGATGACACTGCCCTGGCAGCGCATTTGGGATGGAGCAGCCGGGCCGGAGAACAGGCAGAGCAACACGGCGCCGAATCAGGATTCGACGGAGCCCTATGACGCTGGAGCAGGAAAAGTCGATGGAGGATTAAGTGTACGTCGACGCCGCACCGGTGAAGCAACCGCACACACATAGAGTATGCTCCGTGAATACTTGGGCAGAGCCTCGGGCCCGGATGTCATATTCCCTTGTTACATGTTGTTTAGCACGGAAGTATGTCATGCTACTGGTAGTTGATCTACTTGATAAGCTGTTGCTTGGCCTGCCTGCGCAACTTGATAGCCTGAGGGGGCAGGGAGTCTAACTGCCAGTAGGGGTCATTGTCGCGGTGGTGTGTGGTGAATCCCCTTTATGGCTAATCTGGAGAGTTGTGGTCCCTCGACCAAGCTGGACGTCTTGCCGTCACCAAAATACACGAGGGTTCAAAAAATCACCCTAAGCTTTAGAGCTCTTAAGTCTTAAGCCAAAAACCCCCTAGCATGGAGTTCCTTGGATGAAACCGGGGACCCGCAAATTGAAGAGACTCCACATTCTTCAAAACCGACAAGTCCACAAGTGAGCCTTTGTCCCGCATGTTTCTTATATACTCCTGAGGTTTATGGGAGAGGGTAATCGGACCTCGATAATTCAGGGTTTCGGGCTGGGGAAGTGTAGGGCCCTGCTGGGCCGAGGCGCAGGGAGCCAGACTGGATTATAATCGAGGTTGAAAAGCGCTTTATGGATTTTGAGAGGGCCTTGTCATACAAGGCTTGGAGGCCTCGCTGTCCAGACAGTGCTGGACTCTTTTGACCGTAAATACAGAAAGCGCCGACTACTACCCGGCTGAGTTGCTTCCTTGGAATCGCAGTGGCCCCGCAGTGCTTTTACACCCATCTAGCCATGCAGCTTTGAAAACCTTTCCACTTTTAACCGTTTATTAATAGACCCTCAATCCCAAGCTCACTGTCAGATTCAATAAGCCGTAGCCTCTAAACCTTAACCAGAAAAATGAAGTCCTGAGCCCATACCCAGAACTCTAAACCTTTCCCCGCTGAGGCCGCTTCTTCCCCAGCCAGCACTGGGCGAAGGCCGGTTTGTAGAGGGCTTTGGGTGCAAAGGTTCAGGGTTTCGGTTGTAGCGTTTTACAGGGGATACTTGCGTAGCATCGCGACGGGGATTCGTTAGGGATTACTTGTTGGGTTTAGGCTTTGGGGTTTCCGGGTTACCGCCTGCACCCTTAAGCTCTCGAACCGTCAAAGCCCGATTGCTCTCAACCACAACCCCTAAGCCCTAAGCTTTGTGCTTCGTGCCGATATGTAGACTTCTTGGTGCAACGAGTTTTACCCTGGACAACCCCGGATTAACCGAAGAGCAGAAGCTTGTGAGGCTTCTGGTCGTCATCGGAGCCTCGGGAGGCACATCCCTCAAAGCTGGCATTCGCATGGGGAATTAGGGCTCATAAGAAGTGGCTTGATCTCTGAGATCTCGAGTTGGATGCACCTCGCATGCATCCTTGTTGCTGCGAGCTGTTCGGAGAAGGCTCTCCCGCGTCACACGCATCGGCTTCAGGACAAGTTTACAAAAAGAAGTGGCTTGGGGATTTGCTTGGGGGCAATGTCGGTGGTTTACCGGTGGGATTTTCGGACCTGGGATTGTCGCTCCAGAGCTGCAGGGGGTTTCGGTGCGGGTGAAGTGCTTTGGGATTACAGCTACAGATGGGAGAGAAATCATCTACAGATGATTTTGGATCGGTTGGGTATGTTCTGGGTTTCAGCCGATGGGCTTACAAAGTCCAGCGCTACCACTTTCCAGTGGTTTCGCTGTTTTCGCTGCTACATGTAATACTCTGCGACGAGCTGTGGATGCGTAAAGACTTGCATCAGCCTTAGCCTCTACAGTCTCGTCAAGCCATCCGATTGCATAGAAATGTCCCTTGTTGCAGGGACGGGCGCTGCCGTGGTAGAGGCCTGGCCAATTTGGAGGAACTCCACATCCAAAGTTGAGATGCTGATTTAGGTTTTGCAGTCTTTGCATAGGTGAACCTCTAGGTTTCCAGGAGGTTCCGTGTCGGTTTCGCAGGCGGTGTTCTGCATTGTGGTCCATTTGACGTTTGGAGCTGCTGCGACAAAAAGAATTCTGTACTGTTGATGCTACCAGCTCCCACGTAAACGGCCATGAAATCTTGGCAACCCCCGTATCGACGGCTTAGGGCGATGAGCTCTTTCGTGAGTGCAATATTCGGCTTCATGAGTTCTTCCATGGAGCAAGCCCATGCGACCCTAAACCATAATTTATCCCTAAACACTATACCTTCCGAGTCCCAGCTCGAACCTAGTA